CTTGGGTCAGCTCCACAAGGCTCAGGGCAGGGACAGCCTCACACCTGCTCTGTGCTCAGGCCTGCCCCCTCTCCTCTGGCCTCCCCTGCCTCTGTGACCATCAGGTGCTGCTTTCACCTGTCTGGAGACGGCCTTCCGCCTGGATGCCCTGCACAGGCAGATGAAACTCCTCGGAGAGGACAGCCCAGTCAGCAAGCTGCAAGTCAAGCTGGAGCCAGGTACACACTCCCTCCAGGCCCTACTCCAGGCTCTGCAGGTGTCACCCCACAGCCTTTTCTCCTGCCCTATGCTTGCTCTAGCCCCACCATGGCTGAGTCCCTGCAAATGCCAAGCCAGGGGACCCCAGCCCCAAGAACGCCTCCCGAGGCTCCCTCAGCCTATCACCGCCTTTCATGGGCTCTGAGCACTTGTCACCATGGTGGAGCATCTGGACTCATGTGGAACAGTGGCCCTTGGCCCTTCTTGCTCCACTCACCTGACCACCCCTGCCTGTTCCCCGGAACATAGAAGGGGGGCATGACCTTGCACCAGTGTTGTTTCAGGGGTGAACCCCAGCCACCTGATGAACCTGTTCACCTACGAGAAGGGCTACTGCTTCGTCTACTACCTATCCCAGCTTTGTGGGGACCCCCAGCGCTTTGACGACTTCCTTCGAGTGAGCAGCCCCATCCTGGACAGGTCCTGTCCCTCCTGCCCCTGTCCCGGCCCAGTCCCAGGCCTGCTGAGCTCTGTCCCACCCTCACAGGCCTACGTGGAGAAGTACAAGTTCACCAGTGTGGTGGCCCAGGACCTCCTGGACTCCTTTCTGAGCTTCTTCCCAGAGCTGAAGGAGCAGAGTGTGGACTGCCGGGCAGGTGAGGCCAGCACGAGGAGAGTGCTGGTGTGAGGGGGGTTGGGGACTGCACCTGCACAGGATGCCGCTTCTGCCTGGAGAAAGTCCCACAGGTTCATCCATCCTTCCTTCCGACATCCTCCCTGGACAGTGTGAGCCTCAGGCTGGGAGGCCAGGGTGTGCTTCCCAGCCAGGTGGAGCCCAGGGAGCTTCCAGGAAGAGGTGGCACTTGGGCCAAGCCAACCTATTTAGGCAGCTTCAGAAGGGGGCCATGAAAACGGTGTGTGCAGAGGGCCTGGGCAGGGTTGGCAGGGTGGAGGGGGGTTTGCCTCAGAGCTCGCTGAAGCCCACTGGCCTGCTTGACACCCATGAGGGTATCCCTGGAGGTATGAGAGCTTAGAGATGAAAGGAGGGGTGTGAGGTATAGGAGAGGCCAAGATTTGCTGGAGGGCAGTGAGGTGTGACTGGGCATTCTGGGTGGGGTGAACCTGTTTGGGAAGGTTTGTTAAGTGTACCAAGGGTTTTTGGAGGTGGGGGTGGGCAGAGCCTGCCCCCACAGCTGCCAGTACTAGGATTTTAAAGCA